GGTTCCATTCACATTGGATGAACCTAACTAAACCAAATTAACTTTTTCAAAACCGGTTGGAGTAAATTAAGTCCAAAAAGCCGCCCACCTTAGTTTGTGTTCACATTGGCCGGATTGCTTGGCTCCTCTCAAGCTTAGAAGCTTGAAGCACAAGCTTCTCCTTAGCTTGCTTACCAAGCAAGCTAAGTGAGGAGCTTGCTCTCCAAGCCTCTAGACCATGGGTGGTTAGCTAGACCTTACCATGGTTCTTAGTGAACCATGGTTAAGACTAGCTTACTCTCCAAGCTTCCTACTCCTATATACTTGTTTTCCTTTCATTGTAAGACACTTTTGGAGATATTGAGAATTATTTTCTGAAGAATTGTTCAGATTTCTCTCTTCTAAAAGTCCCTAAACCTCTTTGATATTCATCCAATTCTCTCATCCCTTCATTAGAAAAGTGTGGTGAGAATTGAAGAGACTTATCTCTTCATCAAGGAGTGGCGTCTCTTGGGAGAGTTCTCCACCAAAACGTGGTGGTTCTATGGTCTCCTCCTCCATTGGAGACCTTAGCAAAGCTTAGGAAGAATCAAGGAGCCGAAGATCTAGGGAGGAACTTGAAGAGGATTCACATCAATCCGGATTCTCAACAAGTTTTCCATCACTATGTACTTCTTTTCTTCTTCCGTTTTGTATTTCCTGAGTTTTGTGAGGTAATTGTAGTGTTAAGGGCTGCCAAAAAGCGCCTAGATCATGCCATTGAAGATCCAATAAAGCTCGATCAAGAGGTATTTTATAAAATTCTTTCCTTTAATCTATCATTCTTGTCATATAAACATTGCTAATCAATAAAACAACCATGTAGACTTATTACGTGAGACCGTGTAATTTTAAATTTAAATGTTAATAGTTTATTAATAAAAAGGAAGTAAATATTCGCATTATTATTCTACATTTATGCTAATTTCACCATAGGGTACCGAGTTAGGGCGTTGTAGGGTGCCTAATACCTTCCTTACATGTAACCAACCCCCGAATCCAATTCTAACTATGAAAGCCATTATTGAACTTTCGAAAACCCTTTCTTTTTCCAGTGTTTTGAATAAAACATTGGTGGAAACTCCTTCGAACTATTTTTCAAAACCATTAATTAAGGATTAGTCTAATTTTGGGCATTCCTTGATTGATGAGATTTTTAAAAGGGAAGTTCCAACCATCTGTGAGCGTAATCAAAATTTTTTGGGTTCTGACACCATAATATTTGGCTTGTGTTCGAACTATATTTTGATTGATGTCATGATGGAATGAGATATAAGCTGAGTTCAAATTATTGGATGGATTGATGAGAAGTTTAATTATTGGTTTTATATAATATTTGTGTGTCTTTCCAACCTTATTCTACATCGTAGCCGGAGTGAGATATGTTCTCATTCCCCTATTTCCCTTGTGGATGTTTATATGTGGTTGTATAAGGCTTCCTTTTTGGAGGAATCTAGTTGTTTGAAGGAATGACTCTAATACTTGTGATACCAAGGATCTTGGATTATGTTTCATGCTTTCTATTTTAAGAATTATAGTTTACTTTCCTTAAACATATTTTCTTTAAGTTTATAATAGCTAGGTGTTGGTTTAATTTTATTTGAATTTCAAATATAATACTCTTAACCTTTGTTTGAAGTTATTCAAGTACTATATTTTCTTTTATGAGCATTATATTTATTTAATTATACATGCTGGATAAAATGTGTCACATTTAAGTAGAGTGCAAGAGTGTTGTAAAACTTTCTTGGTACTTGTGTTCAATTCCCATGAATAAAAAAATAAATTTTAATCTAATTATTTGCAATTTTCAAATTAAAAATATTTTTAACAATATTATATGAAAATATTTTTTTATGTAGTTACTTTTCTTAAAATTATATAAAGTTTTTAAAATTATAATTATTTTTCATATATTTTCTTTAAAATTATTTAAATAATAATTTATCATTTTAATATTTAATTAAATAATATAATTTAAATTTACATGTCTAAACTATTATAATTATATATAAAATAAAAAAAAATATTGAAATAAATTTATAATATATCTTATATAAATGAATATATACATTATACTAATCTACAAAAGACATTTTGTGTCTTTGTAAAGTATTTTTTTAAATAATAATTAACAAAAATTATATAATAGTTAGTGATTATTAAGAATATATGCAATTATGAAGTTAAATTTATAAAAAAGAATAAAAATTTGTCATTTGTAAAAGAGTAGTTATAAAGATAAAATTGAATGAAAATTGTGTATGCCAAAAAGTCTATTCCTTTTATTATATTTATAGATTATAGACAATATAAAAATATATGTTAATATTGTTAGTCCCTTAGCCTCAATTAACTTAAGAGGAGGGTGAATTAAGTTTACTAAATTTCTTCTTATAAAAATTTTTCAGTTACTTCTTTATCATTTTATTTCCTTAGACAAATTTGAAGGAATGAATGATGATGCAAACTACACAATTATAATTAATAACAAGAAATTAAAAGTGTAGGGAAAGAAGAATTGCAAACTTGATTTTATACTGGTTCGGCCAATCCTGCCTACATCCAGTCCTCAAGTCTCCCACTTGAGATTTCCACTACTCTTGTAAACCTTACAAGAAAATGAATCCTCCAACACCTCGGAACTCCCTTTCCTTGTGTTGAGATTCAAACACCAACAAGGAGAAAAACCCTTTCTCCTTTATAGATCCAATGATCTATTAAGTATTACAGAATGACTCTCTTGAAGAATGGATATTACACATTCATGATCTTTGATGAACTCTTTAGAGATTTTGCAAATGATTTTGGCAAGTGATTTGTAAATATTATTTTCACAATAGAGTTCGTCACCTTTCTCTGAAAAATTATAGGTATTTATAGACAATTTTTTTTAGGTTATGTCTTTTCATGAAGATTTGTAACCTTCTATAATTTTTCAGAAAATAGGCTCTGGTAATCGATTACAAGACTTGGTAATCGATTACAACGGTTAAAGTTCAAAATGATTGAAACGTTGTACAATGACTGGTAATCGATTACCAGAGAGTATTTTGTATTCAGAATTTAAACTTTGAAGTTTCCTGTTCTGGTAATGGATTACAAGGTCTGGTAATGGATTACTAGAACATATTTTTCATTTTTTCAAAAACTTTTATGCAGAAAACTTCATATCAATAAATTCTTTCACAAATCTCTTTTAGAAATGATTTGAACTATTCTTTAAAGCTTTTGTTAAGCCTTTTTGAAAACATTTTTACTTACTTTCAAAAGATTTAAAACTTGCTTAAATTTAAAAAGATTAATTTGTGACTTTTGAAAATTTATTCTCAAGGCCAAGCATACTTGCAATTCTAAAATATTCTTTTACATTCTTAGCTAAGTTGACAAGACTTATCTATGTAACACTTGAGATCTTGTTCTTGCATCAACTTGCTTTAACTCAACCTTGATTCTTCTTCAATGCTTTATAATCACTTTGTCATTAAAAATTTGTCATTTGTAAAAGAGTAGTTATAAAGATAAAATTGAATAAAAATTGTGTACGCCAAAAAGTCTATTCCTTTTATTATATTTATAGATTATAGACAATATAAAAATATATGTTAATATAAATTAATATTGTATAATATATTTTTGAAATTAATATATTTTATTTATGATGTATTTTTTCTTTTTATATAATATAATATATTGTAATATAATTAATATAATATAATATATGAGATAGTGCATATTAAAAACAAAGAGACAAGTTTATCCTGCCTTTTTAATTTCTAACCTACTCCCCCCTCAAGATAGAAAATATATTACATCAATACGATAGGATAATTATCATAGCAACAAACAATAAATTGTAACATGATAGAATAATTATTCTATCTTATTTTGTCATATCCAGTCACCAAATAGACCATAAAATGACATATTCATTTTCATATCTTTGTTTATTTACGAGGCTTAAATAATAATTGAATAGTAAGGGAAAGATAGGAAAAACGAAAAAAAAAAATAGATATGTTATTTGGATGGATAGAATTAGAAAAAGAAAAAAAAAAAAATATCTTTTTAATTGTTTTTTTCTCTCGTTTTACACACAAAATAATAGAAGAGAGTGAAAAGAAGTAAATAAGTAGCATAAAAACAGTTTTTCATGACTTAAAAAAATTGAATTTAACCTAAATAACTTAAACTTTTATTATTCATTTTTTCCCTTAATATATAAAGTTATTATTTAATCTTATGAAAATTCATTTAATTTTATAAAAAAAAAATTAAAACAGAAAAGACTCCGCTCTTTCATTTTCTTCGTTACACCCCTTTTGTTACACCCCTCTTCCATGTAGTTCCTAGAGGTCAAATTTTTTTTTCTTCAGCGGCACTCTAAAGTTTTCCCATTTTTCTTTTCTTTAAACAAACGGTAGAGTTTTTATATTTTTTCAGCTTATCTTGCTTTCTATATTTTCTTTCTGCCTATCTCTACCCATTTAAACAAAAGGGCAAGTCCTAATTGTTTTGTCCAACATCTGTATAGCTTAAAGTACAATTCAATAGAAATTTTTAGCCAATTTAATGACGGAAAGATTATACTTGGATTAAATATATAAGGGAGGCTAATTGACTTTAAAGTTTAAAATGTCAAAAAAATAGCCACTAGAGCATTTTAAGTCGTTCAACAAAATAGTTCTGAGTTGCGATGATGGAAGCAAGTAGGGATTTGTTTCAAATGTAAAACCATGACCAAACAAATACGTTATCATTTCCCACTATGAGCTAATGTTTGATCCTGCAATTCTCATCAACTTTATTTAGAGAGCATTCAGAAAGATTTTATGAAACATATTCCAGTTTTTCCTCATCAACTTTAAGAATGACTAATGACTATCCCTAAAGTTTCTTGTTAGAGTTAATTTAAATAAATTTCACTACAAAAGCTATTATAACAGTTAGTTTAAACAAATCTTGTAATGAACAGCTCCATGAAAAGGAAATAAATCATCTAAAATTTCCTTAAGGTTCAGACTGTTTTAAAAATTCAGTAAATCAATACATGATCTGCTTTACAAAGCAATGAAGTAAAATACAAAGCATAATAGAATGCTTTCCCCATGAAAAAAAAAAAGGCATAAATAAAATAAAATAATAAATTTAATTAAAAAAAATCATCACAAGTATACTGTAAAGAATAATATACAGAAAAAACATAGACGTGATTCTTTCCCTCCCTCCAGGTACCTCCTCTTTTATGTGTAGGAAAAAAAAATGTCCACAGCCTACTGCATCTTTAATACTTTGGCAAATAGAATTTTCACCGTTCAATTTTGTAGTTTGCCTTCACCGAATGTACATTAGCTACTTCGAGTTCATAAACGGAGACAAACTTTTAGATATTTTGTATCATGCAAGGATAAATGTGTGGTTGAAATATTGTGAAGGTAGTGGCAAAGATAAATTAACAAACAAAAAGTAGAATGTAGTGGCTATTAAGATGTCTTCCAAATTTTAGAAAGGGTCAATTCTCAATTGGAAGTTAAGAGGTCTACTTGCCAAAGCCTCAAGAGTGAAAGGCATTTTTATGGACATTTTTTCCTTACCTAAAAAGGGTACAGAATGTATACACAGCAATACATCTTAGAACAATGATGCTTATATCTACCTCTCCTAGAACAACCAGTGTTTCCTCCTTGGTTTATGCTGGACTGGTGCATCTATAACAAAGGGAAGAAATAAATCAATAACTAATAAAAGTTGTATTTGATGCACCAAAAGTAATTGAGGTTCAACTCTAATCAAGGATCAAGCTATGGAGAACAAACCTCGGAGTTCATACAATGAATTGTAATGAACCTCGGACCAAAAGCTCAACCACAGTTCTGCGTTGTTCAGGAAATAAATGGAAACAAATGAGTAAGATAATACTACAACATAGTACTAACAATTTCATAAATAGAGATCTGAGATATATAGGCCTGATTTTAAGAGTCAACCCACGAACATAAACTTTTATCTTAGGTTAGGGAAAATCATAACTTTGGTTTGAATTATATATTTCTCAACTTATAAATGTTTTCTTGAGGGAAGGTAAGGGGCATTGCCATTTCAGAATGTGCAATCTGTAATCTTTCTTGAAACGACATATTATAAAAAGTCAATTTCTTTTGTGGGGCATGTGATCCATATTCCTTGCTCATAATCAAACACTCAGACTAAATGAAGTTATGGCAGGGTATAACAATGGTGATGATGGCCTTACCACGCTGGGGTGCTTGGTACAATGGCATAATTTCAATGAAGCAAGTCTCTCTGAATGATGTTAGAAGGCATATCTTTGCGGCAAACTACATTAAAAACAAGAAACATTATTTTGGACATTTTGACAGTATTACACAACAAAAAATAACATCATATTAACAATAAACTAAAAGTAACAATAGCCTCAATTGTGTCAAGAGAATATGTTGTAGAGGTCGATAAATTTGAGAGTAATGAACTCTCATGGCATAGAAATACCATTACTATAACATTATTTTCCTTCTATATATTAAATCATAGCAAAAGCAAAGTCAACTATTTTGTTGAGTCACGTATTGAAACAGGTAGCAAGGTTGTCTCCACCAAGAAGAAACCATAATGACACTCATTTAAGGTCTTCAATACTCAGAAAGGGAAAAAAACAAAGATTGGGAATACCATACGACATTTATCCTTAACCAAAAATGCTAATTAGGTTTTACTTACAGATTCTTCGATGCAGCATATATAGCAAAATTTTGCCAATGCACTCTAACAAAACAAACAAAGAACCACACAATGAAACCTAATTTACAAGATTTGACCAAAAACTTAAAACACCTTAATTCATTAGATCTTTGGGTTTTTTTTCACATGTATAGCCCTTACTTTGTTCATTCCTTTCAAATGTGCAGCTTCTTCACCCACATCATACCAAGGGAATCTCGACAAAAGAAATTCAACATAGCCAGGAGGATATAAACCTTTTGATTTGTTTTTTCTTTTTCATGTATATATAAACATTCTGATTAACCACATTTCTAGTTCACCTAAATTTCATATTTTGCATGATCTGCCCTCAATCTATGTGATAGTTCCCTTAAAATTAAATACATAGATGTATATATGCATTGCACTTCAAATGTGAGGCTTGGATTACAACATAATAATCTTTGAACTAGTAATACATTACAGATTACAGATGCTATCTTCTTTATTAGAAACATAAACTCTTTTAAGTCAAAATTACAAATGAACCACATAAAAAATCGACTACATAAGCCCCTCCAAGAAAACATAAGCCCCTCCAAGAAAAGGGAATAGGTTAACAGTCAACTATCATAAGTTGCTACATAAGCCCCTCCAAGAAAAGGGAATTAGATTAACAGTCAACTATTATAAGTTGTTTTACCTACTTAAGGCGCCAAACAGAACAAAAGTATATAGTAAACATACACACATTAAAATCAAAAGGTTGGATTTAACAGACTACCAAATATTAGAATATTACTATGACCTAGTTTGGACAAACTTCTTCAAAAGCACTTATAGGAGAAAAAACATAAAAGGGTAAAATGATTTGAGCTTGTTGCATAAGCTAAAATCAACTTATGCACTTAACTTTTATAGAAACTATTTTCATTTAACTTCTCCAAAAGCTAAGATATATAAGTTAATTTTTAGCTTAGGGAGAAGGTCAATGTATTTTACCTTCTTATTTTATTATCTTAAAAGTGTTTATGAAAACATTTATCCAAATGACCAATACATTAATAATAGATTTTGCCGGATGCTATATTGAAATAACCAGTCAGTTTTGCCTGTTTTATCATTCTGACCCAATTTTACAAATGTCAAAAATCGCGAAGGTATCTAATTATCTTTTTCTACAAGAATGTTCCTTTAGTTAAAATGAAATTGGACCTTTTCATCTTAGTCTCAAAAAAAAAATATAAACAAGAGAAAATAAAAGGGAATAAAAATAATGATCAATTGGTAGCATTCTACATAAGTAACAAAATGTTTGAATACAACACCACAAACCTTATCAGCAGCTGCCTGTAACGTAACATGGTCCCCCCATTCTCCAGATCTGCCAAGCAGTAGAAAAAGGTGAATACAGCCCATTTGATGAGAATACTACTTAAAGAATCCACAAATGTGATGGATCATTTTATATATAATAGTTTAAGTAATGGCTTATTTGAGAGATACATACTTAGCCATTTTCTTGTGGTATTTTTTGTACTTCATTGGTACATAGGATTCATATAAGGAACGGTGATCTTTGATCTGGCAAAGAGAAACATTATGCAAATAAGTATGTCAAACTATCTATTTGCAATATTTAATATAAATTAATAGATTTTATATTGATCCACCACCTAGAGGATTTGTACCACTTCCCTCAGATGACTTGAAAATATTTTTTTATCACTAAACATGCCAATAACTTAACCTAAATTTCTTATAACTTTCCAATTTCTTCTATTGGAGGACATTTCTTATTCTAAATAATTACTACTTAACAAATGTCTAATACATTATTCCTTAATCAAAAATTGTCAACAAATCTCAAAAACTATAAAAGAACAAAATGCTCCTTTGTATCTCCCACCCCACTCTCTTCTTTTCGATATGTCTTCATTGATTCAAAACTGTTCATTTACACATCAGCAAATTTAAATCTTTTAACCTAGTTAAACCAACACTAGACATGAAAGCCAAACGTCCTCATAGATTGACATTTTATGGGAATTATTCTTTCCATGACAACTAGTACAACATACCTGTTTCACTATCTCTTTGCGAACATACTTGTGGTGTTCCGGTGACCTATACAGCTGATCGGAAAGTGCACGGAACTGCAATGTTGAGAGAATAATTAGTGTAAATTCAATAGGATTTTAGGATAATGTTCATGCCTGATAAACAGTTGGTAAAATAACACACCTGACAATTTCCATCTCCAGATACCTTAACTTCACATAAACCATAGACATTCAACCTATAGAAGTGAAGAGAGAATGGTTGTAATACCTTCAATTCAACAAAGAGTAAATGCGTTGCAAGAATACATGTATTACATTTTACTGGCTAAAAGCTTGTCCTCGTTATTTTTTTAATCTGGGTTCCTAAGACATATCAATATTCAATCTGTTGGTCAACAATTGTGAATGGCAAAAAGCACCAGACAAAGTTGCAAAAACCCTTATCTTCAGTTCTTAATGTTTCAGAATATGTATCTATATTCTCTCCTTCATTAACTAACGGTACCTATCCAGAAAAAAGAAAAAAAAAGTAATTACTTGCATGCTAAGATCCAGATACAAAAAGATTGCTGAATGCTGATTGATTTCATCCCATAATCTTTCTTTTGCTTTTCACTGATGAGGCATTGAAAACCCCTACCTTTCTTTATTCCTAAAGTTTGAAAGAATGCTAGTTTAGTAGTATACTGCTAACATCAAAAAAATTTATGGCCGCTTTATTATCTTATTTTTCTAACCACAACTACATGACCTCCCAAAAGTGCCACTATAACTACAGTATGCCCCACAACTCTACTTGACTACAAGGAACATATGCTTATCCAAAGTATTTTTCACTTAAATTACCATGTATACTTTCTGTTTCTACTTGTTCAACTGAAAAAAGAAAAATAAAAGAATATTTATTTGACCAGCTAGGTCTTAAATTATAAATATAAATTGTAATAATGTAAGTGCTTCTTTTCTGCCCAGGGTCATTGTTAACAGCCATCTTTTTATCTAAGGTGCATAGCAAGAAACTTCAAAGTTTTAAAACAATCAAATAAGAAATTGTAAATTTTATGTAGGAGAAATACACACCTCTGAAGCAGACGCTGGTGATCCATACTGGCATCATTTACAGTGGGGATAAAGGAATTTATTCGGGGAACATGCTATAATTTCAAGAAGTTGCAATCAGAAGAAATTAACAAAAACATAAGTAGTCAAAATTCAGATATCTGTATATCACTCCCTCAGTCCCTCCCATGCTTTCTCAAAAAAGTGGGAGTACAATACATGTGAAAGTCTGTTATTGTATGTGATGATAATGACAATGAAGCCTAATTTGTAATACCATAGAATGAAAACAAAACAAAAGTAAGAGCGAAACCTCAAAAGTGCACAGGCAGAGAAAAGAAGGAAATAAGAAATCTAGAGCCAGTATGTCCTTTTAAAGCATTATATAGATCCTGAACCAATTTTCCCAAAAGCTGATGCTGGTGAAGGCATGTAAACTATTCTATATTCAACACACACCTAACCCAAGAACCCTCTAGGCTGGAACCGTAGGGATGTCAAACGAATGATTTGGAAAAATTTTGAACTGAATTATAAAGGATGGGTAAAAAATAAGCCATTAGCCATTTATGATCCATTAAAATTTTATCAAAAATCCAATCCATCCATGACTCATTTAACAAAAAACCATCCAACCCATCCATTAACCACTTTTCATGGATGGATATCCAATCCATCCATTTAAAGTATTTTATATTTTATTTTCAAAAAAATAAAATAAAATAAAGTTCAATATATACATTCTTACATTCAAACACCAGAGTCCAAGACTTGTCCCTTACAGACTTATGCTCAACCAATGAACTTTGGACTACTATATCCAATGCATTAAAAATGTTAGATGGTTCATTATCCACCCAATAATAAATGGTGATTCAATCCAACCAATTCATTAAGCTTCATTTTTATAACAGGATCAATGGGTTGGATTTACACATAGATGGATTGAATGGCCAGTGGATAAAAGGATTGAATTGCCACCCCCAATAAACTGTGGGCAATGCATAGTTGACAGTTCAGTGGGAGAGAAATAATGATCAAACTCAACGCCACATAGCCATAGAGTAAACTTCTAAAAAAGATTAAGCTATCAGTTTATCTTATTAAATATAAATTCATTCCTCACAGTAATGAATTTATATCTAATCTAATAAAATAAATACGTTTTATAATGCATGCTTTGAAAAGAAAAAAAAAAAAAAAAAAGTGGCCCCTATATTATAAAACCATAACTGGCCAAAGTCTAAAGTTTCAATAACGGAAATAACTGAAAAGCAGGAAATCTTACAGGAACCGGTTCCAAGTTGGTAAGGCGACGAGCAACTGCTCCATCTAATTTGGCATACTCTTCTGACAGCACAAGAGCAATCATTCGGTCATCATCCACATCCTGCTGACTGCTCTGGGAAGTTGAACCAGAACTTTCACCCCAATACTCAGTCCGAGTTCCATTCATCATATCCTGAACCAGCACTTGAAGTGTCAAATTAAAGGCAAAATTTTACAACAACACAGCCACTGAACCTGCAACAATTGAAAGACTCCTATCATATAACATTTCACAATCTCAAATTTGTCTAAGAAATGATGATCTTATTACATCTCAGTCATAAAAGTCTAGTTAAAACACCCACAAAACAACACATACATACACAATGGGAATGAAATCAGTGAGTATAAAAACATATAACAGGGATGATAAAGAGAAACAGCACCATCAATACCTTGCAAGACTATAGCATAAAAACAAACCCTTCAATTCTATCTTTGGAAGACATATATAGCTTGTTGAATTTAACAGTTTAATACAGAGAGAATTATAATATGAAATGACCAAAATACAATAACCATGTTAAATTTGATGAACCATATCAACTACATAAAGCTGCAAACTTGCAAATTCTTCTTAACGTATTGATACATATTGATCATAAATGGGGGAAATTCAATTGCCGAGAGGTAATCAATAACACAGAATCGGATCCTAAATTCTGATCACAAACAAGAAAACAATCATAAAAGGGTTCGGTGGATAATCAGGAAAATCTAATCCCAAGAAACAAAGATAACAATTTTAATTTAATTTAAATTATATTTAAGAAAAAAAGAAGAAATGAGAAACCTGTGATTCTGATGCGACTGAACGATGAGTTGTTCTTAGAAATGAATGGGTACGGTGAAGAAGAAGGTAGTAGTAAGGTGTGTGTGACTTTTTTTATTTAAATAGAGAAGCATTCAATTCCGCGTTTTTTTTTGGTTTGGTAAGAGAAGCTAACTTCAATGTCATTGCGGACAACACGTTATTTTTCTAACTTTTCCGACGCACACCAACGCTAAAGTAAAGGATAAAAAATTATATAAAATACATCTAAATATCTATGTAGATTTGTACTTGTATTTTGTCATTTTTTTTTTATTAAAGAGAAAACAGTGTAGCCCACTAAGATAATTAGTGTATGCATTTACATAGTCAATTTTGCTAGTCAATTTTGCACAATCATTTAGTTATACACTAGTTTAATTTATAATATAATATTAACATAATATTATTATATTATAAATTATATTATCTTTACGAAAAATAAGAATATTATATTAAATAAGAATATTAAAATATATAATTTAATATATTCAATTTAATATCGTTAACATAAATTATATTTATTTTTTTAATGATAAAAATATTACATTATCATCTCTTTATATATTAAAATATATTATAAATTATACTTTTAACTTTTATTGATATAAATATTGTATCATCACTATATTATTGTATTAAAATATATAATTTAGAGTATTTAACTCAAAATTATAAAGAAATAATTATAATTTATGTT